CTGAGCCCGGCCTCTTTCCTGCACCAGCCCAGTAAATAAGACCACTTTCCCCATCGGAGAGGGGGCCAGCCACACCGGTGGGGGAAGGGCTGGGGAGGGTGTCCCACGACAGTCTGTCTCCTTAAGGTAAAAACGCCGCCAAGCACTCTGATGGTGAAGTGCTGGAGGCCAGGAGGCAGAAGGGGCTGAGAAGGCCCCGTGACAAGGGTACTGGGAGCGGAAACCGGGGCATCCAAAGCCAGCACCACCGCTGCATCCCACAAGGGGGCAGTAGAGGCCGCGGCCGGGTTCTAGCCCCTGAAACCACCCAGGACGGCAGGGCTGCTCCTGACCACCCTCCCGGCCCACACACTTTCTGGGGTTTGGAAGGTAGAGAGAGGGATGAGGTGATCAGAGGGGTTGTGAGTGATACCAAAGAATTTGGTAGTGGTAACAGCTGCCACACGTTAAGCGTCTACGGTGTGCCCGGCACTGAGGGAGGTACCACCCTTGTATTTTTTCACGTAATCCTCACAGCGGCCTCACGAGGCAGGGTTATTAGTTCCAAATGCAGACGAGGAAACCGAAGCCCAGAAAGAGGCAGCGACTTGCCTAAGACAAAGCTGGGACCTGAATCCCGGAACCTGTGCTCCTCCTCAAAGGACCGCCTGCTTCTGCCACAGACACTCAGGACCAGCCTCATTAGGTGGATCCTGGCGCCAAAGTGTCTGCCTCCATCCAGCCCAGGACTCTAGGGCCTCTCTGGGCCCCAGAGGGGTGGGGCTGGGCGGCCCCAAGGGAGGGCTTGCAGGAGGGTGGGATGGGCCCCACCTGAACTCCCCGCCCACCAGGAGGAATCCACGGACCCCTCCCTCCCGAGGCCCGGCTCCACTTGGGACCCCACATGGGCCAGCGGCCACCCAACTCCTGGGTCACCTCCCCACCCCCTTTCCCCACGGCAGAGCCAGACCCCAGGCCCCGCCCCAGCACTGACCTCGGGCGTGGGGCATGACTTGGGGCTGTTGTGGATGGACTCGGAGCGAGAGGAGTTGGAGAGAGACTCTGCCTTCTTGGCCGTCCTGCGGGGGCCCCCAGCAAGGGTGGCAGGGGCAGGCTCGGAAGACTTTGGGGTGCAGCGCCCTGGGGAGCCTGGCGGGAGGTCAAGGTCTAAAGAAAAGATGACATGTAGCCTTGGGGTCTGTGGCCTGAGGAGCGACCAGGGACCAAGGGTCCTCTTGGATCTAGGGCTCAGACCCTCCACGGCCAAGTTTCCTTACAAGAAGGGAAATATTGGGCGGCGGGGGGCGGGGGGGGGAACTTACTAAGTGGAGGTGGAGGTGATTTACATATATTATCTCATAGACACCTCAGAGCAGCTTGATGAGGTGCACTGGATGCTCCTGTCTTACAGCTCAGAACACATGGCCCACAGAGCGTTAGCAGCATCGTGAACCATTAAGCGAGTGGAGCTGGGACCACGAGATCCGACTGAAGCCCAGCTGGCTCTTCACCAGCCCATACTGCCTGCTACTGCCTCCTAGTGCCCACCTCCCAGCCACGGCCACAGAGATCTTGTTGAAGCGGGAGGAGCAGCAGGCCGAGATGCTCCCCGCGGGCTTGTTTTTTCCCCATTGGAGCCTGGCTCAAGCCAGACCTGGCTCTAACTTGCTGTGTGATTTTGGGTGAGTTGCTAGCCTTCTCTGACCCTGAGTTCTGCTCTATACAAAAAACCCCAGACCTGGGGATACCAGGCTAATGTCACTGGGGTCTACCTTACCTTTGGGGCCAGACCCCCGGCAGGGCTGGGGGGTGGAGCAGCAGGGGGGTGGCGGGCGGTCCCCAAGGGTACTGTAGCCCAGGGCGGAGGTGAGCAGATCCAAGGGGCCCGGGTGCAGGCGGAAGGCCTGGAGCTCCTGCGCCAGGAGGCTGAAGCGCTCAGTCTGGCTGCGGCACTGCTCCTCCAGCTCTCGAACCCGGACCTGGGCCAAGACCCACGATAAGCCACAAGACCCACCAAAGCTGCCAGATCCAAGCTGTGCCATCTCCACACAGCCCCGCGCTAGGCTTCAGATCACATCTGCCCAGCCCCTAGGCCTGGGCACCAACCCTCAGCCTGGCTGCCCCACTGCCCCGAATAGTGTGCAGCTGAGGGTAAGGACGGGAGCTGTGGGCCAGCCTCACTCCCAGCCCTGCCTCTTGCAGCAAGGCCTCGTGCCCCAGGTGGCGGCACTTCCTGCTTGTGGCCGCTTTCTAGGCCAAAAGGGGTCGCCCTACCCCCATCACCACCACAGTATCACTTCAGCAGTTTTCTCAGCTCCGTGGCTTGTCACCCTGCCACAGTCAGTGACCCAAATCCCTGCCCTCAGAGAAGTCCCCGGAGAGATCCCACACGGGAGCCAGGGACATCTTTGTGACAGGAATGAGCCAATTCCCAGGAATTTTTCTCAGGGATCAGGAGAGTCCCTGTCAAGGAGATCATGGGTTAGACTGGTGAGTAACTTCCTCAGGGTCTCAGCGGCTAGGTTTTAGAGGCGAGCAGGGCCTGTGTCTGCCAAGCACAGTGGCAGGTCTGGGACGAGGGGGTGGCCCACATGTCCTGTGGGAATCCCAGCCCAACTGCGGAGTCTCAGGTCTGCTACCAGTCGCACCCCCGTCGTTGGACATGAGGGTTGGAACCACTTAGACCTAAGAGAGGAGACGCAGCTCGGCCAGCCTGGAGAGGTGTTGGGGAGGCCCCCCGCAGGGAGGTGGGGAATCAGGAGGACGTACCTGCATGGAATCCAGGGTAGACTGTGGCAGGAGAGGAAAGCACAGAGGAAAGGTTAGAACCCTTACCCTGTAGGTCATTGCCCAGAGAGGGAGGGAAGGAAAGAGGGACCCGAGCGGACCCCGCCCAGTCAGCTCCCTAGACTGACCAAGCAATTGCTAAAGGGAAGGATATTGCAGGGCCAAAGCGGGAGGGGATCCCCCCAGGCCCCAGAGCACTTAGGGCCCCTTCCTGGGAACCCACTCCCCACACACCCACGCCACCCATTCCAGCGCTCTCTGAGCCTCCCCGAAGCGGGCAGAGCCAATGGCCACCCCCAGGGACCCACCTCCAGCAGCTGCACAGCCCCTTCGTGTTCCCTCTGGGCTTCTGCCTGGGCCTACAGGTGGGAGGAGGCAAAACGATAGAGCAGAAGGATAAGGAATGGGGGTGGGATAGAGTGTGACGGAAGGGAGGAGGGTAGGGAGGGCGAAGGGAGAGAAGAAAGGGGAGGAGGCGAGAGGATGGGGCGGCGGCGGCGGGGGTGGGGGGGGGCGGAAAGAGGGAAGCAGGCTGGGAAGGGGCTGAGGGTTCCTCCCTCTGACTCCCACCCAGAATGGAGTCAGAAGGCAACAGGGTCGAGAGGGGCCTCAGACTGCTTCTCTCTTCCCGGGACCTCCTGCCTCAGGCTTTCCCTCCTGTCTCTCTTGAGGCTCTTCCTCAGCCTCTCCTGCCAGCTCACCTTCTACCCCTCCGGAGTGTTAGGGCGCCGCAGGGCACAGCTCTGGGCCTGCTTTTACTCTCTCCCAAAGGGTCCCCTCTAGTCACCTGACTAGACACACTGAATACTCCAAAACCTGTCTCCAAGACCCCCGTCCCCAGGACTCGAGATTCATAAACCCAGCTGTCCACGGACATCTCCACGTGAGTGTTTAACACACAACCCAAAGTTGGCCAAAACAGAACTCAGGATTCCCTACCTCTCAAATCTGAGGCCCTTCATCCCTCACTCCTGGAGAGTGGAAAGCCTCACCCTCCATTTCGTCAGCAAATGGGTGAAAGAACGGGCACTCAACTGGAATCCCATGGTGAATCCTGTCAGTTCTATGCCCAAAATAATATTTCAAATCTATCCACTTCTTTCCATCTGTGTTGCCTACACCCTAATCCAGACAGCCATCATCTCCCGCCTGGACCCCTGCAGTCACCCGACACCTGACTACCCTGCTTCCGTGCCCAATCCCCCGTCCATCCTCCGCAGTGCTGCCAGTGCGATCTAAAATGATGAATCAGATCATGCCACTCCCCTGCTCAGGACCTTTCAACAGCTTCTAACTACCAGAGAGCAAAATATCCAAACTCTTCCCATGACCTTTGAGGCCTGATGTGATCTGGCTCTTGCCCACTCTGGCTGTTCTGTCCATCCTACTACATTCTAGCCGCACTGGTCTGCACCCCCAAGCTCCTTCCTGCCGCAGGGCATTGGCACTTCTATTCCCCTTCCCTGGAGTGCTCATCAGCTGGTTCCTTCCGGCCCCTGAGGTATTAGAGGCCTTCCTTGCAGAGCTCTCTAAAGAGGCCGCTCACCCCATCCCAGCCACTCTGTGTCACATCACCCTGGTCACTTCCCCCACCGCGCTTGTCCATGACTGGGGTCATCTCACTCCTGGATCTGTTTACTTGCTGATCGGTCAGGGACCTGACCTTTGCCCTCTCCCGGTCCCTCCAGCTCCCGGCACAGTGCCTGGCACACAATGGGTTCTCAGTAAATTCCCACTGGATGAGTGACGGTAAAGCTGGGGGTCCGGCAACCTACCACCCTTCCCCCGCTCCGACCCCCCCAACCCTGCACCCACCTGCTGCAGCCTCCAGACCTCCTCCTGCTTCTCCTGCAGGCGAAGCCGAGCCTGCTCATGCTCCGCCTCCAGCTGCTGCCTCCGCTGGGCCACCTCCCGCATGTGCTGAAACGCAAGAGCCCGCGTCAAGGCCCAAGCCCTGCTCTACTGTTCCTATAGAAGATGGAAGATGAGGGTGCCTCAGACACCATGTGTTCCAGATACTCTCTGTCGAAAAGGAAACTGAGGCTAGAGAAGGGAAGGGCCAGCGGCACCAGGACTCGGCCTACTCCCCAGTGCCCCACAGAGTGCCACTGTCCCACTTTCTCCCTGTGCCAGGGACCGAGGCCCGCCCCACCCCC